AGGAGGAGGAGGAGGAGGAGGAGGAGGAGGAGGAGGAGGAGAAGGAGGAGGAGGAGGAGGAGGAGGAGGAGGAGGAGGAGGAGGCGCAGCAGCAGCAGCAGCAGCAGCAGCAGCAGCAGCAGCAGCAGCAGCAGCAGTTGCAGCAAAAGCAGCAGCAAAAGCAGCACTAGCGCTGGCCGAGCTTCGGAGCCACCTTCCGGGTGTGGTTTTTCTCGCCCGCCCAGATGGGGTGCCGCGTTCGAGGCGGTGCTTTCCCAGATTCTGCTGGAGTACGAGGGCCAGGACAAGGTCGTGCGCGACGGCATGGAGTCAGGCGTGCAGTAGCTATGCCTCCTCCCTCCTCCGCCGTGACAGCGATTGGGCTTATTCTGTTGACTCTAGCTGGCCAACGCAGCCACACTTACGTATGGGTTCATCGCACTTTGAGCCTTGTTCTGGGAGGTGTTCGAAGTGCCGTCGTTGTTGCACCCTCGGCATTGCTTGGCTGCTTGCGATCTATCCATCTATCGATGTCAGTAACATATGTATATACGCATACAAGACTGCATTGGTGCTTCGCGCTATGCACTTTGGTCATTCAATTTCGGCGTGCGGGTGGAATGAGGGAGAGGTAGATAAGTTATAACAGCGGTAACCCATTGTTCCCGTTTTCCGTCGTCGTGGTTATACTATGTGCTGCCGTTTCTTTCCATCATATTTCTTCCTCCTCCTCGTTCTCGCCTGGCCCTGCGAACCCTTGTGCGTCCTTTCCAGTTTTCTTTTGCGAAGTCTCATCCGTGGAAAGAAAGCTTCCTATTGGGTTTCTGGAGGCATCCTGGGCGCCTTTGAGCGGCCTCTGGGGGCTTCCGCGGGCCACCTTGCTGCGAACCACGGTCTCCCTCAACGACCAGGTCACGATTTGGAGTATTTCGGGGGGGCGTCTTGGGGCCATCTTGGGCCGTCAATGGTCTTTCTTCGGGCCATCTTGGGGCCCCGCCGGGCCGTCTTGGGACTCTCTTGGACTGTCTGCGAGCCCTTCAACGTCGTGTTGGGACGATTTTCGATGCCTCTTGGCCGTACTCGGACGCCCGGAAGGCGAAGAACTGGGCATCTAAAAGTCATACAACAAATGTATACAACCATAGGACGATACATGACTTCTGCGTTCGGAAAGCCTCTTGAAGGTGTTCTTTGGGTCGTCCTCGGGGGTGTCTGGGGCCGATTGGGGCTCTCGCGGAGCCGTTTGGCCACCCTCCTGACCGCTTTGGGCCCGCTGGCTAGGACTCGCAGGCCAGGGACGTCCAGGAGGCCCAGAAGTCCTAGGGATCCTTTGCAAGGGCGTCCAGGGGGGTCCGGCTTGGGGCACGGGGGGCAGTTTTTTCCCACCCCGTGGGGACAGGTTTTCCCACCCACCCGCGACTGCATTGGCGCTTCGCGCCAGGCGCCTTGGTCCTTCACGTCTAGCATGCAGGCATCATGGGAGAGGTAGATCAACCGAAACAGCGATCGCTGTTGGTTGCAGTTGTCGCCGTCACCGATATTAGATTGTTGTTCTTTCCTCCTTCCCTCATGTGTCCTCTTCCTCTTCCTCGTTCTCGTTCTCGCCGCGACTGCCCCGCGAACTCTCCCATGTCCTCCTCAGATTTGTTTGCGGAGGCTCATCCAAGGCGAGCTTCTGGAGGACCTCGCGAAAGTTTTTCAAGGGCTCTTGGGGCGCCTCTGGAGACGTCCCTGGCGCCTTTTGGCGGCCTCAGGGGGCTTCCTCGGGCCACAATGCCGCGAACCGTGGTCTCGGGTCCTAGTTTGAATGCTTCCAGAGGGCGTTTTGGGGCAGTTCTGGCCCGTCATGGGGCCCTCTGTGGGCAGTTTCGGAGCTCTTTTGGGCCGTCTTTGATCTGCCTTGGACTGTCAGGAAGCCGTTCTTGGTCGTCTGGGACCAGTCGGCGGCGCCCCTCGGGCGTTCCCGGAAGACCGAATAACAGAGTAGCCCAAAATCATGCAAAAACCGATGGGAAACAAACCTTATCCGCGTTTCGAGAGCCTCTTGGGGGTGATCTTTGGGCCGTCTCCAGGCGTCTAGCAGGGGCCCGGGGCCGGTGGAAGCCATCTTGGACCGTGTTGGGGATCTCTCCGGGGAGCAAAAAGTGGCATACATATAAAAACTCGGAGGTCCGCGCGGATTTCTCGGATCGGCGCTGGACCCCCCTCCCTGGCGCGCGGCCTCTGGAGGCCATGAGTGGACGCCGGGCAAGCCTGGGAAGACCCACGGTAGGCCTGCGAACGGCCGAGGGTAGGCTCATGATCGACCGACAGGAGGGCTCGATACGAAGGCCGCTGTTCGCTTCCGGAGCCTTGGCGTTGGGAGCTCTTCCTGCGAGCGAGCCATCTTGAGAGCGTCTTGGAGGCACCTTGGGGCCATTTCGGGGCCTCGTTGAGATATCTTCATGGGGTTCTCTTGGGCCGTCTTGGTGCCATTCAGGAGGTTTTGGGGGCGTCTTGGGGGCCCTCGGCAGGCGATCCTGGCCCGTCTTGGGGGTCCTGCCCGCCTGCTCGTGGGGCTCTCTTCGCGGTGGGGCCCTTCTCGGGCCGTCGTGGGGCGCTCGTGAGCTGTCGTTGGGTCTTCCTGGGCCGTCTTGGGGTTTGGTGGGAGCTTCCTGGCCAGTCTTGGGGCGGCCTCGGAAGGTCCCAATGCCTCCTGGGGCCGTTCGTGGTCAGGAAAGGCGAGAGTCCAACAGACGCTTCAAAAAACCCAGAGCGACATCTATTAGTTGGGCTCCTGGAGACCTCTTGGGAGTCCACAGCGGCAAGTTGTTTCTTCCTGCACGGTCGTTTTCGGGGCGTCCAGGGCTGTCTTAAGACGCTCAAGGCCGGCTTGAACCGCTTTTGGACCCCCTATGCGCATCGCGGGCGGCTTGTTTACAGCCGCTCGCCTGGTTGACACACTGGGCAGGAGAGTTGAGGAGGCACAGGAGCTCCAGGCTTGGAGGCTTGAGAAGCTACCTTCGGCGTCCGAGAGGCGCCGTGGCCATAGTGGTACGCCCATGGGTGGAGGGCCATCCCCGCTTTATTCGCATAGGAATTTTTACATCGCAGCAGAACGGGTGTGTTCGCGCACTTGCGTGCGCGTGAGCTGGCACAGCTGGTGGAGTTGCTTCCACTCCCGTCCTGTCTGAATACCTCCTCAGGCATGCGGAAACTCTTCGATAACCCGTACTGCTTGGAGCTCGGGACGTTGCTCGGGGGCAGCCCGCTGGTTTTGGAGGATCCAGGGCAACCAGAACCATCGGGATGACAAAAGATTCGCCCCCACCCCCCTGGAGGAGGGGGGAGGAAGGGAATAGTATGAGCAGGAAACATCATATGGAGGAGGAGGAGGATGGGGGGAGGATGATCGCTGCGGTGAGCCACGCTCCTCCGCCTGCTCCGCCTCTTCGCCTTCCTCCTCCTTCCCCTCCTCTCCTGTCCTCCTCCTTTTCCTCCTCCTCCTCCTCCTCTTCCCCAGACCTTCTCCACAAGGGAGGTGGTGAAGGAGGGGGAGGAGAAGCAAGGAGAGTGAGGAGGGGGAGGGGGGGGAGGAGGGAGGAAGAGGAGTAGGTTTCAGCTGCCCTGAAAGGACGCCCAGCGTATCGTGTTCTTCCCTCGCCTGTCGGATGTTCGAACTTATGTCGCCGCCTTCCTCAGGCCCGAGGCTGTAAGTTGCACACTTCCACCGCTTAGGAACCGATGCCCTAGGACCCCAGGAGGCAGTGGATATGGCTATTCTCTGGCCGCGGGGGCCTCCAAGAATATCCACGTCCACTGCCTCCTGAAGTCCCCGAGACGTCGTTTCCCCAGGCGATGGGTGTGTACATATTCCAGCCTCGGATCAGGGACACGCCAGAGAAGACGGCGAGGACCAGAGGGACACATTCAAGGCAAAAGTGAATCCATTGCTGCTCATCTGCTCCTTCTGCTTCCGTCTACTGCTGCTGGGTCTGACGCTTACGCTGCACATCCATCCGCCACAGGAGAGAGCGGCTGATGAAGTTCAAGCTCATGTCGGTGTTCTACACGCTGCACAGACGGGACGGCGCAATAGTGGACCGCTTCATGCATTGCGGAGGACTCCTCCTCCTGCTCCTCCTGCTCCTCCTCCTCCTCCTGCTCCTCCTGCTCCTCCTGCTCCTCCTGCTCCTCCTCCTCCTTCTGCTCCTCCTGCTCCTCCTGCTCCTCATGCTCCTACAGCCTCAGGCCCCCTTCGCTGCTCCTCTCCATACCTCCTCTCCCACTTCCCTCGGGATGCAGCTCCTGGGAGGTCGAACTTCGTATCGGCGCTGGTGCATCCTTGGTCCCGATCCCGTTGGATCTGGCACAATCTGGCTCACCGCTTTTTGCGGCTTCATCCCTACGCCGGCTGAGTGTCTTTTCGATCGAGCTGAATGGATCGTTCTTACGAAGGCCCTCCAGAAGTTACCTCCTAACTCCCCCACTCCTCGCAGGCCTAGAGGTTGACACCAACACCAATTTCGGCGGTGTGCCTCCACCGAGGGAAGAAGATCCCGATCTCGGTGATGGTGGTAATATTCTGGCTTCCAATGTGGCTGAAACATTACCACCCACACTCGAACCTAGGATCATCTTCCCCCTGTGGAGGCCCCCCCCCTGTGTTTGTTGTTGGTGCCCATCTCCAGGCCTCCGAACTCCCTCCCTCCCTCCATCCCGCCCCCCGCTCCTGCTGATTCTCTCTTCCTCCTCCCCCTCCCCCTCCTCCTCCCCCTGCTCCTCCTCCTCCTCCTCCTCCTCCCTCCTCCTCCTCCTCCTCCTCCTCCTCCTCCTCCTCCTCCTCCTCCTCCTCCTCCTCCTCCTCCCTCCTCCTCCTCCTCCTCCTCCTCTCCTCCTCCTCCTCCTCCTCCTCCTCCTCCTCCTCCTCCTCCTCCACCTCCTCCTCCTCCTCCTCCTCCTCCTCCCTCCTCCTCCTCCTCCTCTTCCTCCCTGCACCCGCGGAGGGCTCGACTCCCTGGTGGCCCTGCTCGCCGAGGACCACAACGTGATCCAGTCGCAGGCCACGGAGCTCCTGATGGAGATGCTGCCGCCGCCTCGGAGGCAGAGGCCTCGATCCGTCGATCTCTGGGCTCGGGTCCTGCCACCCGCTCGAGCCGCCGATCTGGACTCCTCCTCCTCCTCCTCCTCCTCCTCCTCCGTCCTCCTCCTCCTCCTCCTCCTCCTCCTCCTCCTCCTCCCCCTCCTCCTCCTCCTCCTCCTCCTCCTCCTCCTCCTCCTCCTCCTCCTCCTCCTCCTCCTCCTCCTGCCGAGCCTTCGATCCGTGGGGGTGCGCCGTGGTCGGGGAGGGTCGGGCGGGCTGGGGCGGGGTCAGGGCCCGGGCACGGACCACCCCGAGGGGGGGAGGCGGATCACGATCTGGATCAGGAGCTGTCGGGGGGGGGCGCCTAAAGGTCGCCGCTGATGCAGCTGCCGCACGCGGGCTCCCTGCGCCAGAAGCACCTGCACCATCAGGTGTACTGCTGCCTGCGCTCCCAGGCCTTCTGGCGGAGCTTCGCGGCGATCGTGGCGGAGCCTCGCGAGGTCTTCCCCAACAGCCACGCCAACTGCGTGCGCATACTTGCCGGCGCCCTGGGCTGGCTCAGGCCAGAGGACGGATGCCTGCCGGACATGGCGGCCCCCCCCGACATGCGCGAGGCCGTGAGAGCTCTGCAGCAGTACCTCGGCAGCGGCCCCGCAATGAAGCCCGACACGAGGGGCGTCGCCGAAGACCTCCTGCAGGAGCTCTCCGGCACGCCTCTCTTCCGCGCGGACCCGCTTCCGGAGGGCCCCGAGCTGAAGGCCGCGCGCGGCGAGCTCTTCGGGGCGAGCGCGGAGGGCCGCGAGGACTCCGCGCACGCGTGGCAGGCGCTGAAGCTCTTGGGCGGCGCGGCGTTCCGGGGCGGCAAGCTGTGGCCGGCCGAGGCGGCCTACCGCCTGGCGCTGCAGGAGGGCGGCGCGGCCGTGCCGGCCGCGGAGGCGTCGCTGATCGAGTCCAACCGCGCGCTGGTGCTGCTGAAGGCCGGCCACGCCGAGGAGGCCGCGGCGGCCGCGGCCAGCGCCCTCGAGCACGACCCCTCCAACGCCAAGGCCGCGTTCCGGCGCGCCCAGGCGCTGCTGCAGCTGCTCGGCGCCGACCCGGCGGGCGGCCCGGAGGTGGTCTCGGGCGTTGTGTAATGGGGGGGCGAATCGTGTAGGGGGTGTGGAGACTTGAGGTGCACTTGTTGCGCACTGAAGTAGGGGAACAAAAAGTAACATAAACATAAAAACTCGGAGGTCCGCGCGGACCTCCGAGTTTTTATGTTAATGCCACTTTTTGTTCCCCTATGAAGGGGCCCTAAGAGGGCCAGCAGTGGGCACGAGCGGTGCACGTTTCTCCCCCGCCCCCCACTGACCGCCCCCTCGATGGTCGGAGCGCGGTGGTCGGAGCGCGTCGGCTGGACACCCACTCCGATCCTGGCCAGGCTGGTCCTGGGCTTCAGCATCGGCGAACGCGCCCCCTGGCTCGGCCAGGAAGGCACAGCGCACCAAGGCCGGGCCCCGGGACCCCCTGGCCGAGGGTCGGGGCGCGGGTGTAGCTCAGCCGACGCCCTCCGGGGAGGCCGCGGCCACCATCGGAGCCGCCCTGGACGCGGCGGAGCTCGCCGCGGACCTGGAGCCGAAGGACGCCAAGGTCTCCGAGGTCCTGGCGAAGGCCCGGGCGCTCGCCGAGAGGCTGCCGGCGCGGGCGGCTGCGGCGGGGGGCCCACCGGGGCCGGCCGCCCCGGCGCCGGGGGGGCTGGACGACATGGACTGAGGCGCGCACGCCGCCGGGAAGGGAGCGGGTGTGCCCGGAGGTGCTGCGAGGCGATATCGGGCCGCCAGGGCCCTCCGCGGGCCCCGGGGGCGGTGCGAAGGCGGCCGAGGAGGAAGGGCGGGTCTATACCCAGACCCCCTCGAGTTATGAAAAAAATCACGACGGGAGGTTTTTCACTATTTTTGGCCTTTGGGGGCACTTACCGGCCCTCGGGACCGTCAAAAACGACTCAGGACGAAAAACCAGTTCCGGGGAATGGGTCGAGACCTCGGGGGGTCGACGTCATGAAAAAATCATGACGTCGGGGGTCTGGGTCTATAGGGGGGGGGGGGGGGCAGGGCCTCCGGGTCCAGGCCCCGCTTTTTCCTGAGGGCTCGCGCCCTGCAGTGCCAAGCACCCCGTCTGCCCCCCAGCACCCAACGCGTCTGGCAGGCTGACCTTTGCAGTTCCAGCGTCCCTTCCCCCCCTGTGCGGCCTCGTGGCGCCGTTTTCTCGGGCCCCATATTGGGTCATCGAGAAAGGACGCGGGACGAGGAAGTGCCCCGGGGAAGAGGTCGGGAGCCCTGGGGCCGCGTAGATTGAAACAAGGGTCGGGGGTGGACAGACCTCCTACCCTGACGCCTCGATTCGCGAACTGGCCGTTTTCGGTTCGCGAGAGGGCGTCGCGGCCGTCATTTTTACGGGTCCAGGTCCGTCGGTTTCGGTCCCAGGCTTAAAGGGAGGTTTACGAAAGGGAGGTTTGTCCACCGCCGAAAGGGCACCCCTGCGGCAGAGAACCGCAGCAGCTTTATACGCAGTTCACGATAGGGGGGGGGGCCGCGAGGGGGGAGCCGCCGTGGGCCCCGCCGACCTCGGGGGCCCCGGCCCGCCCGCGGGGCGCCAGAGAGCCTCTCGGGTGCAGAGCCTCTCTGCGCGGAGAGGCCGTGCGGGGAGGCGCGCCGTCGGAGGTCTGGGCCTGCCCCCCCCCGCCCCCCCCCCGCCCCTCCCGCGGTCCGGGTGCGCTGCGCGGGAGTGGGGCGCGGACCTGGGCACCCGCCGCCGCCACGAGAGGTCGGCCCGGCGCGGCACGGGCGCAGCCCTCCCTGACTCCGGATCCGCCCTACTTTGGCTTTTTTCCAACTTAAAATTGCGTCGGAAATCCACCTAGAAGAGGCCGAAAAAGTAGGGCGGAAATTGCTGCACCCAACATAAAATAGGGCGGAAATCCACAGAAACAGCAACAGAAAAGTAGGGCGGAAATTGGCATCAGCGGGGCTTGAAAAGTAAGGCGGAAATTCCAAGCCCCAGTTACGAATTTCCCCAAAGTAGGGCGGATCCTCAGTCAGGGCTGTCAAGCTGCAGGTGGCGCAGCCGGGGGGGGGGGGCTCTCGCCTCCCACGCTGCGCGCCGCGGGAAAAGGAGGGGGGGGGAGCGGGGAAGAAGGTGCGGAAGGGAGGAGGCATCACTCCGATGCCGAAGGGCGGGAAGGGGGCGGAGCGGGAGCGGACCCCCTTCGTTCCGAGGGAGGGAGCTGCTCGGGAGAGGATGGGAGAAAGAGAGAGAGAGAGAGAGAGAGGCAGACGGAGAGAGAGAGAGAGAGAGGCAGAGAGAGGTTGAGAGAGAGAGAGAGCGAGAGACTGACAGACAGAGACAGACAGAGAAAGAGAGAGAGAGAGAGACAAAGAGAGAGAGAGAGAGAGAGAGAAAGAGAGAGCAGGTGTGAGAGAGGGGGGACCGTCGCAGGCGTCCGCACGCGGCGCTGTTCGCAGGCGGAGTGCCGCCGGCTCGCGCAGAGGCCGCCCGTGTCGGGGAAAAGTCTCGCAGCGAGCTGCCGCAGGCATGCGCCGTCGTAGGTGTCGGGGGCGCCTTCCCCGTCCGCGTCTCGAGGGCGGCAAGGAGGAGGAGGAGGAGGAGGAGGAGGAGGAGGAGGAGGAGGAGGAGGAGGCGGACGAGGAGGAGGAGGAGGAGGAGGAGGAGGAGGAGGCGGAGGAGGAGGAGGAGGAGGATTCGGGGGCGGCAGAGAGGGGGGTGATGACTCGGGGGGGGGGGGGGATATCATGGCGTGGGCCACGATATTTCCTCGGATTTCATGGCGCCTCTTCTTCTTCCATGACGTCCCTAGCCCCCCCCGCTGGGCCGCGCACGTGCCGCCGATCATGAGTTGCACCCCCCCCCCCCCTCGTGGACACCCCCCTCTTGGCCGCTCCCGAAGGTGGGCGTGTGCGAGGGGCGTGCCGGGAGAAAGGTGCGGGCGAGGGCATGCGGACGCGCGCGCAGGGGCCGCAGTCGGTCGGGGCTCCCACTGCAGCACGACAGGCCCAGTGGGGCATGCCAGAGGGAGCTCGGGCAGGCGCCAGCGAGCGTGCCCACTGGGGCCGCAGCAGGGCCTCGACATGGGGCTCTCGCCACAGCGTCGCGCGCGTGCGTCTTCCATGCCACCGGCAGGTGCACAGAGGGAGGGAGGGGAGCTTCAGAACGCGGCTCTCACCTCGGCCCCACGCACACGCGTCGTCAGGGTTTCGGGCAGGTGCACCGATGGAGGGCGGTCGTTTTAAAAAGGTGGTTTTCGTCGTAGCGACGCGCGCACTAGGCTGAAACATCCAACATGTCACAACAGTTACACTGAAGTCGGGCCTGTCCCTCTACAGGAGGAGTATTCAGAAATAGTTACAAAATAGTCTGGCGACGATTTGTTTGACCATGTCTGAATATTTTGGAGTATTTTTTGACTATTTTTTCTTGGTGTCGTCGAAAATCCCCCTGTAGGGGGACACGCCCAATTCAACACTGGGTTTAAACATCAAACGTCTTACAATTTTTGGATATTTTTGGGCACTTTTTGTATATTTGTTCTTGGTGTCGTCGAAAATCCCCCTGTGGGGGGACACGCCCAATTCAACACTAGGTTTAAACATCAAACATCTGACACCTTAGGCGATGGTTAAGAAAACCCAAGTTTTCGGCCAGAGTCTCGATTATTCTTAAAATGTTTCCATGCAAATCCTAAGATTTCGATGGAAATTCTGGGCTTCTACTCAAGCTCTGAGACTATGCATTTCTTAACCCATGATTTCTTAAGCATTTCGCAGGGTGTACAAACAGTTGCACGGACGGAGGGCGGCTCTTTTCCACAGCGTGTGGCCCTCGCCTCGCCGCGGCGCCCCAGCGCCCGCAGCCGCTCGCGGTCAACATGCCCACCGAACCTCCGGAGGGAAAGAAACACACACAGACACGAGGAATCGTCGATCCCCCAGAAAATATGGGAAAACATATGGGAAGTGGGGGGGGGGGAAGACGAAGACCCAGAAGATATGGGACAATATGGGGGAGTCGTTTGATCTGTGTGTGTGTTTATTTGTGCGTCCCGAGGCCCCTTCAAAACAGATGGAGGGATACGGAGCGGTCTCGTCTCAACATGTGGCTCTGGCCGGAGCGCAGCGCGCAGTCGTCTTGAAAGCTCGAACCAGGTACACGGATGGAGGTGCGGGGACATGTTCAAGACGCGGCTCTAGCCTGAGCGCCGCGCACGTCGTCTCAAAAGCGTCCAGCATTTCTCAGACGTTGAAAAATTGCACGGGTCGTTGGGGGCGTTTTTTCGTTTAACAATTTGAGGCTCCTGCTGGATATTTCTTTGGACGCTGTGATCCTGCCTCGTCGCCTGACTTGCAGTACCCTGGGGCGCTCGCCTTTTCAAGGGGCCACTCTCCGCACGCAGGGCAGAGGATCTCCTGTAGGGGCTGCTTGGGAGGGGGCTCGGGACGGGTGGGCGCACTGCCACCTCGCTGACGCATGTTGCTCGACTCCAGTCCTCCTCCGCCTCCTCCGCCCCGCACGCCGCACCGGAGGACATCTCGAGCCTGCACTTCCCCAACTCGTGCTTCCGGCCCCCAGTGAAAGGCCCGATCGGCGCCACCGTTCCACCGCGGCGCGCGCATGGGACGAGAGGCAACGGAAGGAGGAGGAGGAGGAGGAGGAGGAGGAGGAGGAGGAGGAGGAGGAGGAGGAGGAGGAGAAGGGGGAGGGGGAGGGGGAGGGGGAGGGGAGGAGGACAAGTTAGGTGCGCTCGAGTCAACATCTGACATCCTACCCCTCCCTCCCATCCCTTACCATGGCGCTGATTTTCTCTATCCGCGGACGCGTGTCGTAGCGGACCTGTGGCTCCACGCGCGTGTGCGTAGTGGGTGGTGGTGCGCGTGCGTGCGTGCGTGTGTGCGTGGTTGTGGTTGTTGTGGTGGTGGTGTGTATGTGTGTGTGCGTGTGTGCGCGTGTGCTGTGGTGTGACGTGGTGTGGCGTCTTGGTGGTTTGGTGGTGGGCCAGGTGCGTACGTGCGTGATGGCGGTGGTGGTGGTGGTGGTGGCGGTGGTGTGGTGTGTGGTGGTGTGTGTGTGTGTGTGTCTGTGTGGTGCGTGTGTGTGTGTGTGTGTGTGTGTGTGTGTGTGTGTGTGTGTGAAAGTGTATGTGTATGTGTATGTGTATGTGTATGTGTATGTGTATGTGTATGTGTATGTGTATGTGTATGTGCGTGCGTGCGTGCGTGCGTGCGTGCGTGCGTGCGTGCGTGCGTGCGTGTGTGTCTGTGTGTGCGCGCGTGTGATGTGGTGTGACGCGGTGTAGCGTGGTGGTGGTGGGTGGGGTAGTGCGGTGGTGGTGGCGGTGCGCGGTGGTGGTGCGCGTGCGTGCGTGCGTGCGTTGGTGGGTGGAAGTGGCGGTGGGTGTGCGTGCGGCGGGGCGGGGCGTGGTGCGGCGCGGTGGTGGCGGGCGGATGGGCGCGCGAGAAAGAGGCCCGCGCTGGGGCGAGAACGCCATCCTGAACGACGGAGGCAAAACACCGATCCGAAAACGAGGCCCACGCTGCAGCGGGAGCACGATTCGGAACGACTCGGGAGCAGAAATGAGGCCGGCGCCTCAGCGAGAGCAACATTTTGAAAAAAACGCAGGCGAAAACCCAACTCCCGGGAATCCTATGTGAAAAAAAACAGAACGCGGGGGGGGGCGGCTACTCCCAGGACGCCATCCGGGGAAGAGGGAGAATAGTATTCATATTGAATGATTGTGGAGGAGGAGAAGGAGGAAAGGGGGGAGGAGGAGGAGGCGGGGAGGGTGGGGAAGGATGTAGGTAAGAATAAAAGAGGAGTAAGGTAGGAGGAGGAGAGGAGGAGGAGGAGGGGGATGAGGATGGGACGTGGTCTGATAAGGAAGGAGGAGGAGGAGGAGGAGGAGGAGGAGGAGGAGGGCGGAGGAGAGGAGGGGTGAGAGGCAGTGATGAGGGAGGGGAGGAGGAGGGGACGGGGTATAGGGGGCAAGGAGGAGGGAGGAGGAGGTAGGGAGGAGGATGATGTGCGGAGGGACGGAGGAGGAGGAGGAGGAGGCCACGCTGGCCCTCGGGCCCCCCGCCTGCTTTCCTCTCCCCGCCTCTGTTGTTTCGCCCCCGCGTCGCTCGCTCTGCCCCGCCCCGCGTCTTGCCCCCGCTTGGCCTCTGTCTCGCGCCCGCCCTCTGCCTGTCTTTCCAGGGAGCGCGCGGAGGGCCTGGTGGGAGCCCGTGCGCCAGGAAGAAGACGAGGAGGTGAGGTCAGGGGGTCGGACCAGGACGAGGGGCAGGAAGAGCAGGTGGGGCTGGACGTGGAGGATCACACGTGGGAGGGGGGGAGGAGAAAAGTAGGTGGAGGAGGAACAGGAGGAAGAGGAGGAGGAGGAGGAGGAGGAGGAGGAGGAGGAGGGGGGGGAGGAAAGAAATAGGGGAGGTAGGGAGGAAAGAGGCGGAAGAGGAGGAGAGGAGAGGAGGAGGAGAAGGAGGGAGGAAGGGAGGAGGAGGAAGAGGAGGGGGAGGAGAAGGGGGAGGAGGAGGAGGAAGAGGAGGAGGAGGAGGAGGAGGAGGAGGAGGAGGCGGGGGAGGAGGAAGGCGGGAGGAAGCGGGAGAGGCAGGAGGATCCCGAAAGTGATGCGCAGTTGGTGGAGCAAGAGGACAGGGAGGATCGGGATCAGGATCAGGAGTGGGATCGTGGATGTGATGGGCGTGTGTCACGAGATCGGTCGAGCAGGATGAGCACTTCGCTTGGGAGGGCGAGGAAGGCGAGGAGGACGATGGCGAGGAGGGAGCAGCGGCAGCAGCGGCGCGATCTGATTTTTCCGGCGCCCCGATCGCGCCGCTGGACGCGGTAAGTTACGGATTTCTCTGAGCGTGGAATCAAGTGTTGCCCACAACGTCGAGAAGAGAGTGCCCATCTCCTAGCCCGGAGGATCAGCGACGCTTTGGTGGCCGGCCTTGCACACTTGCTGCACGACCCGGCACTTTCGGTCAGAGGAGGAGGACGACGAGGAGGATCAGGAGGAGGAGGTGAGGAGGACGGGGACAGCTGAGCGGCGGATCCACTGCGGCGCGACTGGCTGGCTGTTCCTCAAGTCGTCACCGTCGCTTGGAAGGAATCGAAGGGCGTTGGGATGCGGAGAGCTTCCGCGGCTCAGGAGCTAATTAGAAGAGGAGAAAGGAAGGGGAAGGAGGATGAGGGAATAGGACGACGAGGTGCAGGAGGAAATCTTGTTTGGCCGTGCCCACACCTGCACAGCCAGACAGACGCGCCCCCCCCCCCCTTCGCACACCTCCCCTGAGGTATAGCAGCCTGCGGCGTCGTCCCCCTCCCTTTTCCTGCTCCTCGTCCGTCCCTCTCGTCCCTCCTCCCTCCTTCTTCCCGCCCTGATAGGGGGGCACACGGCGCTGTCACTTGGCGCGCGACGGGCCCCCCCGGGCGCCAGACCTCCCCGGAGGACGAGAGGAGAGGGCGAACCGAGAGAGGACGACGT